CATCAACTACAGGTCGGATAGGTCTTAAATTTGACATGATGATAGCACATATTCCCGATTAACACATAGGCATTTTCTTATCACAAAAATCCTTTCAGACTCCTGTCTGTGGAGTTTCCCATGTTAACATTATGGGTAATCATATTTTAAAAGTAAAAATCGTAAGAATATGTAATAATCGTTACAACAACAACAACTTCATACCTTAATATTTTATACAAAAGTCAAAGACTCCACTGTTTGTGATTACGCATTTTTTTGGTAAATAAAAGGTATACAATGCTAAGCTCTCCACTGAAAAGGCAAATCCAAATATAAATTATCGTCTTGTCAAAACTTTTAACATTATTGAACTAGCCACATTAAGTTGCAAAGAGAAAACGTGACTGCTGTCGAGTAAAAAAGTGTAAATACTCGAGTTTGAGCTTTTATTGAAACGTGACCAGTATACTTACAATATAATGTATAAGTTAAATTATTTTTATAAAAATTTATTTCTGCGTTTATGTATGTTAGTTTCTACCTTTTTATGTAGTTTAAATTCATCCTTTCAGTGGGTAGAATTAATAAAGTACAAGGTTTTCGGCACTTTTCTAACAAAGGGCTATTTTGACTTTTTATAAAAAAAAATAATGATGTAATCATCATGACATTTTGACAGCTATTAGAAAATATATTTATACGTTTTAAAATTTTTCATCGGTAAAAAAAATCTCTTACGATATTTGTAATTATATTTTTAATTGAGAGACAGAACAGTTCAGAAACTCGGCCGAAAGCTTGAATTAAAGCTATTAAAAATATAAAAATGTTTTTGATTTGCACATTATGTGTTAACACATAGTTGAGTCACACAGCTAAGTGTTCTTCAATCATTAAAATGCACACCATTAATCAGTAGTTGAGCGCCGGCAGCAGGTGCCTGCTATCTGACCGTGGCAACCACTGTAGAGACTTCTGGCCCAGACTGTACCGTTGGAGATTATGAAATTTGTACATTATGAACCGCTCTGTTTATTTGGTATTTAAACGTTGGAGTTTGTGAAATTTGGACATTGTGAAACGGTGATTATTTGAATGTTATAGATTTGGAGCTAATGAAATTTGGACATTATGAAACGCTCTGTTTATTTAATATATTAACGTTGGACTTTGTGAAATAATCGTTGGAGTTTGTGGAATTTGGAGATTATGAAACGCTCCCTTTACGAAGCATGAATCACAATTCGTGCAATACATTTGCATGCCTATCTAGACCTTTGATTACATTCTTTCAAAACTTGAAGCAGCTTCGGTGAAGTAGAAAGATTATTAATTGGAAGAAACCAATATGTGCAGAGGAAAAGACTGGTGTATTAGGTAAGCGATTATAACATTTTCTTGAGGTGAGATTCAACTACGGTGAGAAAGAATTTATTTTATTAATATATACCGGTAGCACATCCATTGTAAGCTGCTCTTACCTTCCTAATAACTCACCCAATCGTTTCCAGACCTGTTCTTTTATTTTGTAATGCAGCCTTTAAAAGAGATATAAATGTAAAATCACTGACAACATTACACTTTACCTTCGTACAGTGACTAGAGCAGACTTCACTTATGACAAGGTTGTTGCCCGCTCCACTCCCAAACGCAAAAAAAAAAACGAGATTGTTGTTTCAAAGTTAACCGTGATGCTACGCTATGCACACAACAGTGGTATGTGTGTGCATAGTTACTTGATTGTATGGGTTTGATTTTGTCACTCTGAATGGCATTACTCCGCTCCATTCTCAATCACTGAATGTGTGTTTTACCCTAATTCTTTTGAAAAAAAATGAGTTCCTGTGTGGATTATTCTTTAATCTACAGGGTTTCTCCAACGGCTGTTAAGATTTGTCTTCTTCAAAATTTAGGAGCAATAATCGTTTGCTTAGTACTGTATATTGTTGTTAACACCTGGAAAGTTTTAAGTGATTGTGAATACCCCTATCAGGAGTGATAACAGATGTTTTATCATGTGACACCTGATGTGGTTGAAGTTGATAAGATAAGTTGCTAAGGGCTTGTATTCGGCTTGTTTGATCCTTTACTACCTACTTTTTACATCCATTTAACCTGTGTAAGTAGGCGTACTTTTTCATATTAATCATTGACCTCTTTCTCAATATTTATATGTTAGTGTATTTGACTTTTATCTAGAATCAAGACTAATGCAGTTAAGAGTTAAGATACCCCCGCTGCAGCAAACCTCCAGACTAAGCAAATTTCCATTTACCTGGTTGGATTTTTACTAAAATAATCCCTTAAAATCATCAGGCTAATTTCCTATATAAATACTGTACCATTAATTTTAATGTGTTGGCTAACTGCTACAAAGAAAGAGGTAAATTTTGTTTTGTAATGTCAATAGCTTAGTACGAAATAAACAAATTTGTTAAATAAATTTGATCAAAATAATACATCCCAAACGAGGAAACTACAACAATTTATGTATAGTCAATGGTATTATCCATAAGAAAAACATAGGAATTAAAATTGTACAGTGTTTAAGAATTTTCTCTGTAACCATTAGGTGTATGGCAACACTTCAATATACTGAATCATTTGTTTTTAAGCTCTACAAACAATTTTGAAAGAAATGGGAAAAATTGAATGTTTTTGGGGTCCAAAAATGGGAAAACCCAATTAAAATTTTACCACATAAAATCCCATTCTATACTGTTTCGCAATCTAGTTTGAATAATGTATGTGAGATATGGGGAAAATATATATATACATAAAATATATATATATAAAATAAATAATATATATATATATATATATATATATGGGTACTCTGCTAGTATATATATATATACTAGCAGAGTACCCATCCTTCGTACGGAGTTGGCATTATTACTTATTGCGGTTATACTCAAGATTTGCGTTTGCAATGGGGTGGACACAGTTTGATAAAATTTTGTTCTTTAAATTTACGGTATGCTATAGTACAGTATAACACATCTACCATATAAATAATGTTCTACCACTGCACCTAAACAATAGAAAAAAATAAATGATCAAACATTCACACAATGGTATCACAAATTATTCATTAAATTAAAACCATAAACATAACTGTAAACAATCCTACTTTGACAGGTCTCTTTGTGTATCACAGCTTTTTGTTGCTGCTTAGAGCCTTATTATGTGTGGCCACTCGCTCGTTAGTTGCGTGGGCTCGCAACTAGTAGCGAGGGTGCACAATTGGAGTGGCCAGTTGAAGGACTCTGTTGGTAAACCTTTTAACTTTTATATAAGTTGAAAAAGCTGACCAAATTCTTTAATTCCTTTTAAATATGAATACTCATAAGGTTAACATGAAGAACTACAGAGCTGCTGGGGCGAAGCCCGAAAGGATTTTTGAGGTAAGAATAGGCCTATATGTTAAATCTGGAATGTGAGCTATCATCTTGCCAAATTTAAGCCCAATCCGTCCAGTTGTTAATGTGTGATTAAACTTCAAACAAACAAGCAAACAAACACACAAACTTTCACATTTATAATATTATTAGTAAGGTAAGATGAGGTATATGAGAAATTCCCTAAAAATCAATTAATTACTCGCCTAGAGTCTAAATTACCTAAATTAGGTGTTGATATCATAAAAAATAGTTTTTCAAATCATAGATCAGTCAATTTAACTGCAAAGTTGCATTAATGCATCTTCAACAATAATGGAGTGTTTTGGGAGACAAAAATGGGAATAAAAGCCAATTTATAATCAGTGATACCCCGATTGAGGTTGGAACATGCTGGTGTTGGGAACTCGTTAGAATCAAAATTTAAGTTTATATTATTAATTTTTCATGCTTGTACCGAATTCTGTCAAAATTGGATCATTTTTACTCAAGTTATCGTGCTATTGCTAACAGACACATAATATGTAGATATGATGATTTTGAATGGATGGTGTTTTTGGCCTCTGGAGACATCAAAACAAAAAATTAAACTGGTCCCGGGTCTAGGTCTTACCATTAGACGTATACTGAATACATATACAAGATGTCAAACACATAATCAGGTTTTAAATGGGGATAATGTTGTATTGAACACTCCTACCATCATCAGATTTAAATAGAGAAATTATAAGAATCACATGGTGTCGTCTAACTTTAACTAGGATGTTTTTAAGGAAAAGTTTAATCTGCTAATGTTTATTTATTTATAGTTGGATATTTATTTTTATACCCACATACACGTAACATTCTTCTAAGGTCATCAATGAGTTACGAGTAATTTAAATCTACAACCCATTCCCTTAGTTTAGAGGATCTATTTGTTTGTAGATAGAGTCTTTAAACATTAGGAAAAGCTCTGATGATTTCTTGTTTATGGTTTTCTAAACAAGATCTCAAGTTTGCTTATTTCCCAATCCAACAGTTTATTATGAAAGGGTACACAATCTATTTTCATTGTTTAGGAATGGGTTAGTCTGACCTTACCTGTAAATAACATATCTTCCTTCAGCTTTCTTATTTAACACTAACAATAATTATTATAATATCATAAACTAGTTTTAGTTTATATTCATTTAAGTAAATGATTTCTAGATTGAAAACGAAACTCAATTACTGTTAGGTATTGTTTAAGCTTCTATTTAGGTATATAAATAGTAAAACTGCTGATTACAGTAATCATGGGTTTTCAATTTGATTTTTATAAAAAACGGAAGTACAATATTAGTTGTACAGTAGTTTTTTTATGTCCCACCTTTACATTCTAGGACGGTTCTAGCCTGGAACTGTTTAACGCATTGCTTCAAGCTACTCCAAGGGGGTCACGGCATTATCACATAAATCAACTATTAATTTTTTTTCAACTGTCAAAAAATAAGCTTGGGAAATATGTGAGTGATTGGCTTGGTTAAAATTCTGTAATAAATTTCCTTTTCACTGCCCTGTTGGAGACAAACTAGTTTGTAGAATAAATACTTGTTTCTAAAGATTGGCGAAATGTTGAGTTGTTTTTTGGTACAGGGCTATAATATGAGCACTGGGACTGACCAGAGAATCATCCTCGGGCTTGACATTGGCACCACGTCTGTCAAGGTTTGCCTGGTGGACTGGACTGAGGGCAAGGTCAGTACCTCACAAGATCAATTTTAAGATTAGATGATATGATTTGAGTATATTCAATGCTTCATTTGCTTTGTTTTTCTGTCTTTCCTCCTCATTTTTATTTTCTAAAATATTTACCTTGTGCATTTCTCAGTTTATGTATTTATTGTGCCTTTCTACATTAGTCTAGGCTTAGGCTATTTAATTTAGTGATGTGTCGGTTGCAATTCTACTCAGTTTGGTGTTACAGCTTGTTTTTTGTTTTATTGTTTTTTTTTCATTTATTTTCGGTTAATAAATAAAATGACCACCTACTTATATTTCAGCCTAAACCACTAAAGATCACTTTCTTTGTGTAAAGTTTACTGTTGGTGATGCTATATTAACCCTTTTTACTTTATCCCCCTTTACATTGTTTTTGTCAAAATTTTTGAGTTTGGGTTTTGAGTGGATATATCCGTTTTGGGCACCCCTGAACCCAAAAAAGTTGTGTGTGTGTCTGTCATTGCATGTGGATGTGTACAAAAGCTACAAACCACACCTGTGGTCCGATTTTGACGAAATTTGGTATGTAGGTCCATAGTATCTCCAGGCTTTTTTAATTTTTTTAATCTTGATTTTTAATGGTGATTTTCCCATCAAACCCATAAAATAACGGAAAAATAGGATTTTCTCAAAAATGACCTGATCAATTTTGATAAAAATTTAGTATGTTATAGTCCTTTAAATCCTGAACAAAATGGCACCAATCCCATTTCCGTAAAATTACGGTTCAAAAGATATTGTAACTAAGGTTATTTTCCATTAAAAACCGCATAAAATAACTTAAAATCATATTTTTGAGAAAAAACCGGTTTTGATTCAAATTAGTATGTTATGGTCTTTATAATTGTAAAGATATAGTGAAAACCCCCATTGCTGTAAAAATTACGGTTCAAAAGTTATTACAGCTTTTGTGATTTCCCAAAAATAAAATATCAACGTTACTCCCACCGATATCTTACTAATATTATAAATGTGAAAGTTTGTGTGTTTATTTGTTTGTTTGTTTGTTTGAAGTTCAATCACGCATTAACTACTGGACGGATTGGGCTGAAATTTGGTATGATGATAGCTCACATTCCCGATTAACATATAGGCATATTCTTATCTCAAAAATCCTTTCGGGCACCGCCCCAGTGGCTCTGTAGTTCCCCATGTTAACCTTATGAGTAATTATATTAAAAGGGAATTAAAGACTTTAGTCAGCTGTTTCAAATAAAAAAGTTGGTTCTATGATATGTAAAAGCATTAAAAAGTTATAAAATTTACCAACAGGGTGCAGCACAATATTTTTTTGCATTTATGAAAACAGCTAATTTGAACTAAGCAGCAATAAAAAACTGTGATACGCGATGATAACTGTCAAAGTAGGATTGTTTACGGTGAAGTGGTAGAACATTTATGACTATGGTAGATGTGTAATACTATAGGGTACTGTGAATTTAAAGAAGCAAATTTTATCAAACTGTGTCCTCCCCATTGAAAACTAAAGCTTGATCATAACTGCAATAAGCATTTTATACTTATATGCACACCCCGTATGAAGGACGGGTTCTCTGCTAGTCCATGATAAAGGTTGTTAACAAGCTAATAAGAGAAAGTACGTGTCAGATTGCTAATACCGTTTATTTTGTTACAGGGATTATTGCTAGTAAAATTCTAGTTTCACCAATCACTGAGAAATGTTTGCAGTTATCCTTGAAACTAGTTATGATTTATTCCTAAACACTCCATCATAATATGTAATGATTAACTGTCTTGTTCTAATAGAAAAGCTGTTATGGATTTTGTTTAAGTGTGCATTTATGTAATGTAAATGAAAATTATGTATCATCGTAATTCGTAACCAAATCTTGGTGATTGTCAAGGTGTCATTATCGTCTCCTCCAATTGTTGCAAAATCATATAAATTCCTGTGCGTTAGTAAAGACATTATGTCTCCAGCAATCGCAGTAAAATGTTAAAACATCTGCCAAGATCTCGAAGATAATATCATTGTCTGCAATCGTGGCCAAAATGTTGAACATCCATCGTGATTGCGAAGACAAAACTATTGTATCCCGCAATCGCGTGGACATCATAATCATCGCCTGCTGTCACAGCAAAATCCTGGATATCTACTGCAGTCTTTTAGACATTCCCAAATTTATTCCTGATACAGGCAAAATCATTAATACATAACGCTGTCTCCTTAGATCATGGCGAAATCTGGTACTTTCTTCGCAATATCAAAGATGTCACAATGTTGTCAGACAATCGCAGTGAAATTGTTGTGTCACAACCAATGAAACATAACTGAAATATTCAATTAATTCTCGCGGTTTGGTTTTTCCCCAAAAAACTGGTAGTTAAAGAATGAATTGCAGGTGGTGGCACGCCAGACAAAGGATACCCAGGCCAATGTACCTAGTGAGCTGGGGTGTGAGGGCAACAAGCAGAATGTGCCCAAGATCATGTCAGCAGTTCACATCTGTGTCTCTCGGCTACCCAAGGAACTGCTGCGCCAGGTGAACTCTGAATTACTGGCTCTCAGCCAACTATAAATTTATGTAAATAACATCAATTATTCTGTACAATGTGAATTACTAACATCTGATTTTTATACACCCCAAATTATTCAGCACAATGTTACTACTGAATAAACTTTAAAACTAATTTGATCATAGACATAGGCAAATAGTGAATAACTTGACGCTATAAAAAAAAAATATATTAAACATTTCATAAATAGAAAAGATTTTTATGTTCAGTATGTGCTATTTTATTTTCAGTAAACTCTGAAGCACACTTATTTGTGCAACCTTTACATGGTTTTATATGTGTGATAGGTGGAGATTATTGGAATCTGTGGACAAATGCATGGGGTCATGTTGTGGCACTATGACACCTCAGCTCCGTGGGAGAGAGCAGACATAGAGAGTTCTCGCTATGACATTGTCCCTACCCAGGTGTCCAACCTTTATACCTGGCAGGACTCAAGGTTGGTTTTTACTAAATGGTGTGGAAGGACTAGTGGTCGAAAATTTCAGAGCTCGGCTTTAGCTTTTCTAGAAACCTGGAAAAGTCTAGGTTTTTAATGAGTTAGTTGTGAAGCATTTATATTTGTAATATTTTTCAGAATCAAAGCAAGATCTTTACTCTATAGAAAGTTATTTCATAACTCTTCAACTGATCTTTAGAGTCCTTGGAGCCTAGACGTTCTAACTCATTAAACAATAAAAAAAAACTACAAAGCAAATTTATAATCTCACAGTATACTAATTTAAATTATAATCACTTTAGCATGTGATAAAATATTTTAAGGTGGTAAATAGCTCTTCAGCAGCTGTTTGAAAATGACAAAATTAACATTGCTCTTATGGCGGGCAAATACTAGATGGCCTTTGGCTTCCATGGACTTAGTTCAAGCAAATAAGTCCAAATTAGGAAAAATAGAGGAACAAATCTATGTATTCCCAATTTTTTTCAAAAATGTGTCGGGGAGGGTCCCCTAATGAATATGATAGAGATAGGTGAGAATAAAATCACCCTGCCGCTCTCTGGTGGTGGGAGGTGTAAATGCCCTAGTTTGCGGTTTTTTGCTTATAACCTGAAAACGGTGTGTCGTAGATTAAATTTTTCCATGTAAAAGTTAAAGCTTATTAAATTTGCTACAACTTTGATCATATACATTATTAGTGAAAAACGCACAGTTTCTGAGATATCCGCGCTCAAAAAAAATATAATGTTCGAAAAAAGATTTTCACCTCACATTTTTTGTTAAAATCTTATTTTTTCTCCTTCCTTTTTATTTTTCAGAAATATTGACGGAAAGAAGGTTGTAGAGAATTAAATTTACTTCAATAATATATACAAATATGTAAATAGATAAGATGTAGGTATAAAGTTACAGCGTTTTTAAGATTAAAAGAGAAAATCATGAATTACACAAATAGTCGCCAAGTTTTGATTTTTTTTATTTGCACGATTTGTATGGTTTCTGATAATTTTTTAGATCAAATATAAGTATATTTAAGGTAAAAATTGGTAATAGTTATGTAAATAACAATTTGACAAAATAAAAAGGTTATCTATTTATTACGATGATCCAAGCTAAAACAATTAAAACATACAAAATAAATTCATATTTAATTATTGAATTAATGTTGACTGAGCCATTGTTCTTGCAAGAACAAGGTAACATTAGTTCTATAATTGAATATTCTAGTTCTTGCCACTGAAAATACATCACAAATTCATGTTATGATAAAGATTGATCTCTGTTTCATAGAACAGTATTAACATCCTTTTTCATTGTCTTCTTCCTCATCATCTTCACATATAGTCAATGATTGTACAGAGGCTAGTCTTGTTTTTCTTGTCGGAAAGAAAGTTCTCTTGCTTTATTCAACTGCCCCACAGAAAATTTCGTACTTGATTTTTGCAAATGTACTAAAGATTAGCAGATAGTTAGTCTAACCAAAAATTTGATGATGGAGATGTCCTCGATAGTGAGTATCAGTTCCAGATGACACTAGGCTCAGGGACAGAAGTTGGACCCTCTCGTCCAAAAGGAGCCAGACCATGGACATTATAGTATTAATATTTCATCATTAAAAATAAAGGAAAAAAATTTTTTCATTGAAATATGTGATACAAAAATTGACCACAATTTGACGTCAATATGACGTCTACAATTTGATCAGGACATCAATTTGACGTCTTTAACTTAATTTTTACGTCAAATTGATGTTATGTGCTATATCGGAAAGGATCTCATTCATCCAACATAAAAAACATCTTTAAAACACATAGACAAAAAACACATCATAACATCATAAAAAAGCATCTTTATTCATCATTTGAGTTATTCGCTTACCTGAGCCACTTTTTCAAGTAGTCACATAGTGAATATTACAACTGTTTCAGATGTGATCCTGATTTTTTGTCTTCTCTTCCTAAACCTGACTCACACCTCAGAGCTTACTCAGGTTATGGATGCAATACACTATTCTGGATTGCTAAAAATAGGTAAGTCAACAGATTTTGTGAGTATTAAACTACTAGGTAAATGGAATCTTTTCAACTATAATAAACTAAGGTGTGCACTTGAAATCTAAATTTAACCATTCATCATTTGTACAACACATAACAGGGTAGTCTGATGACATTGCAAGTTAAATTGTATCCGTAACATACCATCTTAGATTTTTTTTATAAACATGTAAATGTATGGCCACAATTCACTTAAGTCTGTTAACTCCTTGTAGACAGTGAAGTTGAAAACTCACAAATTAAAGTGATAACAATGATTGTGTTATGTTGTAAAACAAATAAACAATTAAAACCAAAATTAAATCAATAAATAACAAATGTGAAATAAAAATTTATATACAGGCAGACACAACACCCCCTGCCAGTGATTGAACCACGAAGAATCAACTAAGAAAAAAATCTTAATCCTGGAACCGTACTGAAAATTCACTTGATGTCCAATTGTCCAAAGCATGTAGTCCTCAAAATAGGCTTTGGTATCAAATTGCCTTGAGTTGATTGTCAGCATGACCTAAGGAAGGGGTAGTAGTGTCGGTGGCTCTAGAAATGCTGGAATCAATGTGGTCAGGTTTTAGTGAATAGACTTGTTTAAGTCGACCCATTGAAACGGTTACTTCATTGCCTCAAATCATAACAACTGCAGTATTATCAGATCTGCTAACAACGAGGTAAGGACCTGACAGGGAGGTTTGAGTGCACCCTTGTAGATGTCAGTACGTATGAAGACATGAGTGCATGTGTTAATTTGACAACCTCTAGGTCTCTACTGTAATAAAATTGTTTGGTGAATAGGCCAGAAAAGCTTGAAAGATTCAACTGTGCGGGGACAGTGCAGGACTTCATGGTTGCTATGTTGGCCAATCTGAAGCGCCCTGTGATGTCCGTGCAGAACGCTGCATCGTGGGGCTACTTCAACACAGAAGATCACAGTTGGAACTCTGAACTGCTGGAGGGAGCTGGCTTTCCCACCAGTCTGTTGCCTGAGGTAAGGACTGGAAAAAGCGTAAGACTTAGTAGTTATTCATCAATATTTATTATGATTATTGGCTGACAATATATATAAAACATCTATGAACATTGTTTTTATTTATTGCTTTATTAAAGACTATGAAACAATATCGCTTGGCTCAACTGGCTTCCACTGCTAGTATGTACATTGTGGTGTATGTATTGAATTGTGCTATCACAACACACATTGTGAAACCACATGTACAGAGCAGGCTCTCTCTGGCTCTGTGGTTGATTTGTAAGATGGTGTACCAGAGCCTGGAAATCAGACCCTAGCCTGTCTGAGCCCTAACCTATGTTTATTGTTACCAAAATTGACTGAGATATCCAAATTGGGAACCTAGCTAGGGACCAGAGGACGGAGATCTTTTACCCAGACCAGAAAGCAGGCCAAGCCAGATTTGATTACAATTATTAATTTATTGCTAATATTGGAAACCTTCCAATCTAATCTATAGAAAATATGGTTGAACTAAAACACATGTTGATTTGAGATTGAGTGTAACCAACCTTTAATTAGCTTCCTACACTTAAAATACATTTATTTAATTAGCTTCCTACACTTAAAATACACTTATTTGATTAGCTTCTTACACTTAAACACTTATCTGTGGACCTAATGCAAGTTGGGATGATTCCTAAATTACTTGCTGACAATGTCGAGTTGTCAAATGGAGATCAGGCATCTTGCAAAAACGTTTTTTTTTCTTGCGAATCGTAAAAAGGTATCAGTGACAGACCAAGAGGAATGATGAACGGAAGGCTCGCACGATCTAGGTTGATGCACCATGTAGCCGCATGACGCTATGCGTCACTAGCATCAGCTGATTTCTATTGCCAATCATGGGTTATACTCCTCACCACCTTAACTTGAGGCAGCCCAAACTGACCTGCAGGGCCATTACCGGCTCGACCCTTTTAGAATCCTATTAGCGACACTTCCTTGACCGCCCTTAGTACAATATTAAAATTTAGTAAAATTAAAATTATATTCTGATGTATTAATTTACCGTACTCGTTTACTTTGGCAACATCAATTTAACAAACACTTCTTTTTTTCCCATCTAAAACGGACAATGTTTACGGTTTAAAATACTTATGTTAATTGGTATTTTCTTTATAGTTCAAAAACCATAAACATTGTCCCTTAAGATGAGACAAAAATAGAAATGTTTGTTAAATCGATGTCACCAACGTAAACAAGTAAATTAATATATTAATTATTTCTTCAATTATTTTACTACTTTGCATGGGCTGTATGACTATGTAAATGGTAGAAAGAAAAATTAAACAATTCAACGGTAATTAAAAACATAATTTAAGTTTTAATGGAACTTAAAAATTAATTTTTCAAAGATGAGTTATTTTTAAACAACAAAAGGTCAATTGAATTTTGAGAGCCACTAAGCTTTACTGGTTAAAAGCGATTTGGCGCATTCGCAGAAAGTTTTGCTCCTTGAAACATCAAACATCGTGCTATACCGGACCCATTCGTCCAGCAACTGTTCAAATGTTTCAAGGCTTTGCGAGGCACCTTGCAACGTTTGCTTGATCAGTGTGCAGCCTCCCATTGAAATAGATGGGGTGCTCGTAACCAGCAAAACATTTTGCCTCGCAACACTTGCTTCAGGTGAAATGGTGCATCTGTGTGCGGCCGGCCTAATGGGATTGTAAAAGGGTCGTGCGGAACCAACAGATAATGGCCCTGCAAATCAGTTTGGGCTTCCTCAACCTAAGGTGGCGAGAACTATAGATTGCTTTGCTAGCTATGTAAACTACTTTTATTTAGAAACCTAGTGGTAAAGATCCTATGTACACTTAAGGATATGCCAAAGAATTCCTTTTACTTCATCCTTCTTTTATCCTTTACATTAACTTTAGCCATAACAAATCAAACAAGAAATTAACTTAAAATAAAATTTCTTTTTAATAAACTGAAAACGGAGTTAAGCGCTGTTTTCATTATAGTTTAAGGTAACAACCTACCTTTTGTTACCCATTGAAAAAATTGTCAACTTTGGATTCAATCTACAAGTTGTGACCTGCAGAACATAATTTAGTTTTAATCCAATAATTTATAGAAATGATTTATGGTTGAAATCTTTGGTGGACTATGTAGGTATCTTAGCTACCTTAATGGTTTAAGTCTTTTAGCTTGTGTGTGCAAGCATTTTAGATTGAAGCTGCATTATAAGTGCTTGTACGTAAATGAGCGTTGCTTGTTTTTCCATTAAAAAAAGATGTTCAAAAAACTTGAAAATGTGAGGCCAGCAAGGCATTCTGTTTTAGTTTAACTTTATTTTTTACTTCAAGGTTATACCAAGTGGAGATGTGGCTGGAACATTGGCAGATCAGTGGCATGGAATCCCTGTTGGAACACCCATCGGTACGTAAACAATTTGTTACACGTAGTGGCCTATGTCAATAAATCTATGAACGTTCAGTCTTAGACATAGACATAGACATACTTTATTTGCACAAAACATTCCATACATGTTGATGATGACGTCTACACTGCTGCGAGAAATATTCATGATTTTACCACAATCATGGAAGTCGAGGATCACGTTTTCACACTGGAATTAATGATGACGTCTACACGGCAGCGGAAGATGTTCATGTTTTTGCTGCGATATTGGACGACGACAACGATGTTTCCGTGACCGCAAAAGACAACGATGATGTCTACATGGCCACGTAAGTGTTTAGTGGGTTTGCCAAGAGCCCGGATGACGATGATGATGTTTCCGTGACCGTGAAAGACGATGATGAAGATAATGTGTACACTGCCGCGAAAGATGTTCATGATTTTGCTGGGATCGTGGATGACGAAGATGACATTTCCGTGACTGCGAAAGATGACAATAATGATGTCTTTACGGCCGCAGAAGATTTTCATGATTTTGCTGTGATCAACACTAGCTCACTGATATTTGGAAAGATTATAAACATACAAATGTGATGTATATTGATGCATACCTTAGCTGTAAGTCTTAAATTAGTTATAGTTTAATTGGAACTAAACATTTACGCAGGAATTAATATAATGTTCATATGGGAAACATTCACGCAGTAACTTGAAAAAAACTTGGAAAATCCAGGAAAAAACCTGGAACTTCACTTTACAAAATTATCATACAACCTGTTATACAAAACTGTATAGAATTTTAAAAACCATAAATATGGTTTTGAAAATCCATTTTTTGTTATTTTATGAGAAAATCACATAAGTTATTATAAATTTTGAACCTCAATTTTTACAATAAAGGGTGTTGTTCTGTTTTGTTTAGTGTTAAAAGGACTTTAACTTACTAAATTTGAATCAAAATCATTTGAGCCATCTTTGAGAATACCGTATTCAATTTTTTTCTCTTATTTTATAGGGTATGGAAAAATTACCATAAAAAACTATAATAACACCGGCATTTACTAACTCAAATGCAACGATTGCCCGAGTTTCTACATCGGCCAAACTGCTCGCTCGTTCGCTACTAGATTTAAAGAACATCTACCCAAAAAGAACTCGAAATCAGCATTTGCCAACCACATTATTGACTCAAACCACAACTACACAGATATACATAGTAATTTGGAAATTATGCATTTATGCAATAAAGGCAGATATATGGACACAATAGAGGAATTCGAAATTTACAAGGTATCCAAAGAACACCCTGACCATCTATTAAACGAACAAACTTCATTCAGATCAAACATTATTTACAATACTGCCAAAACCAATAGACCAAAACAAAACAGGTCCTGATTAAGGTGTAGGGGGGAGGGGGTAACAGCTGATGCTTGGACCACGCCCGCAGTCATGACGCAACATTCACCGGCGCCTGTCTCGCGTGTTTGTCAGTTTGTCACTTGGCCAAGTTTGTTAAATTCGTGTATTTAAATGTTTTCTTATTTATGTTTTCTGTGTAATATTTATTTTGACCAAATCATCCACGGATGACAGCTATTTTATCTTGACGCTCTACAACCTGATGATGTGCCCCAGCGGCATGAAACAGCTGTAGTTATCACTTACTACACAAGGATCGTTCGACGCAAAAGGTAACCTAAACCATTTTATATTGCAATTTTCGATCCAGAGGCTAACCCATCATGAAAAAATAAAAAACAAATTCTCAAAAAAAATTTTATAATGCCTGGAAATACTACGGATTAGTACCCACATACAAAGGCGGCAATAAGATCCCGCGGGCCCCCCAGCAAGTTTGTTCGCCAGGCCCCCTTCTCCCAATATTCTTTAAAACATTATCACATGTATTATCGCCTAAACATTCATACTTGGCTTAATATACCGACTTTGTATGGTTGCCATTTCATCGAAAAGTATTAAAGCAATTGCACTTTAGCTTGCCACAGCATCTCCCAAGGCACCGAGGTGTCATCATCGTCTTCCATGATCGCAGCAAAATCGTGAATAATTTCAGTAGTCATGAAAACATTATCATCAACCAACCGTGATTGCAATTAACCTAGGACATCATCAAATCACAACATCATCGTCTCCCGCATTCACGGCCCAATTCCTGGTATTTTACGCAACCCGTGGTGAGAGGGAAATAATTTTTTCTGCAATCGCGGCAAAATCCTGGATATATCTCTCGCGGAAAAAGAAACGTCAATATCGTCTTCTGTAATCGCGGGGAAAAGTTCTGGTCGATATCCGCGATCGCAGAAAAAGCGTAGGCCTAATCTTTCAATTTAGTGAGTGTGATCTTCGCGGACATAAAAGCTTTTACTTTTAATTGGGCATTTTTGTATTGTGTACTGAGAAAATCGGCTAGATGAGCTTGATTTTCTGACATTGTGCTTGATCTCTCAAGCTTGTAGGCCAGGCTCTGCCCGGCTCGAAAATTGCCATTATATAAAAATCAACTGTTTCCAAAGCAAACCGATTTTGAACCGACCTGATTGGGTTCGAGGCCTATAGTTAAGTAAAAATTTTTACCTTACTCGAAGTAAACAAATCTAAAGTGCAGCCTCCTCATAGTAAAGAATTAAATGAAAATCCTCCATTAGCGTCAATGAAAGAATGAAATGATTTATTAGCTAGTTCCCTAGCCACCTAGGTTAATTCGCCGATTTGGTCGAAAAAAAATGTCAAGTTCATTTATTTGAATCAGCATAGAGGGCTCTGGTGTGACCCGCCGGGGCCTAGGAGGATCTCCTAGGCAGGGGGCCACATTGGTTCTAAATACGGCCCAATTATGGCGCTTTTACAAAGTCCACGAGGACAGTTAATGACACCTGCATGACTGATGAAAATTGTTTTACTTGAGTTGGTAGAGGATTTATATCGATTGGTCTAGTAATACAGTCCAACCTCAGTATAACGAATCTGAAGGGACCGAACTGAATATTCGTTATATCAAGGATTTCGTTAAAACGAGGTTCGTTATATAGAGGTTAGGTTTGCAGGAATTTCCGCTAAGTCGAGGTTCAGAATTAGCTTATAGTGGTTTGATATAGTCAGGTTTGATATAGTGTCAATATAGGTCGGGATTTGACCTCATTAAAATACAGTACAATTAAAGTAGCATAGGCTACAATACTTTACAGTACAGTGTTTACATTGTACAGTAGAACCTAAATTATCCGGCATAATAAAGGGGAGGGATCTTGAATATTGCACAATCATGACAATGGCATTGACCTTGGTACAGGTTAAAAATTGTAAGTTTAAAATCACAGCTTGTTCTAACCCTCCTAAAACCTAGCCAAACACTGTATTGTGTAGTCATAAACCATATCAAGGGAAAGACGTAGACAATTCGTTATGCAGAGGTTAAATTCGCTATGTAGAGGTTCTGACAATGATAAATTCGTTATATTGAGGTGTCTTATTTTAGCCGAAATCACGAAAAATTCGTTAAATCAAGGTGGTTGTTATGGTTTGTTTGTTATGTAGAGGTAAAATATACATTGTGTCTTATGGAGAGTTCTAGGGGATTAAAAAAAATTTGTTATATCAAGGAATTCGTTATATCGAGGTTCGTTATATCAAGGTAAGACTGTACTAATAGTGTCAGTTTAGCTGTTGTAAACTACTTGTCCTAGTGCTCTTACTGGGTTTAACAAATTTTTGTCATAAAAAAGTATGGTAATTCTCATATAAATATTGTTACGATAGGAGCCCTCAGCCTGTCGCACAATCGCAGGCCCCTGTCCCGGTAAAATTTCCCGAAAAATCCCGGTCAATGCTTAAAAGCCCCCCTAGCTCGTGGGCCCGCTATCGCCGCCACTGCCCACATACAAAATTTGATCAAAATCATACCACAGATGTAGTCTGTAGCGCTATACGCAGACACTCACACACTTAACCAGACATCACCTAAAACCCTACCTTTGGGCCTCAGGGCACCCAAAACAAATATATCACCCCAAAACTCAAAGTAGTCAAACTCGAAAATTACAAAACAATACATTCTCCACATACTATGTATGGGAGGAAAAAGTAATCAGGATTTTTATACAAAACTATTAAGTAAATCACTGATTTTTATGGATATGAAAAGGAAATTAGTCATTATGTTTCCAATAGAAACAACAAATAACTTTTAATGTACCATCCTGAAAGGTTAGTGCAGACAACTGTAAATAAAAATAATGTTCACTGCTGAAAAGCCTCAAAAAGGCTAAAACGCAGCAAAAGCTAGGCTCACACTAAAGGGTGCACAAAGGGGACTCTATTTGGAACTGTCCGCTAGCGGCACTAGTTGATGGCACTAGCAAGACTCTGATCAGAGCTGTCAGCAGTGAATGTGTTAAGTGAGGGAAAACCCATCAAAGTAAACCCTCTGTAAGTGTGGAATTCTTTTCAATATGAACCTACAAGATTTAAAAACTTGATAAGACAACTATAAATCTATGTCTTTAGGATATATCCTACAGGGTGTTCAAACCTTAGATTGCTTTTGTTGTAAAAAGAATATTACAGAAATATAGGATAAAACACTAATCTTAAAGATATTTTAACAATATTATCTAATTGAAGACTTTCTAAATTCCCGGAAACACTTCCTATGGACCCTGTACTGTAGCCTAAATAGCTGTCAACTAAAATATTCCTAATTTGTGTACCATACAATATACCAATAATTATGATGTATTTGGGTACAGACACATTGCTTGTATGGTTTGCATACCAAACGTATTTATAACATCCAAATTATAAGTACCTATTAGTTTAGATTATGATCAAATACTTGGCTCTAGCTGCAGCTCTAGGAGATCTGCAGTGTTCAGTTTTAGCAACACTTCGGAATTTGGATGATGCTGTTTTGAACATTTCTACATCCGCACAGCTGGGATTTGTTGCTGCTAATTTCCAAACGGATCAAGTCGATGGTAAGTATAATTAAATTAACTTTTTAATTAGCAGGCGAGAATTGAGGTCGTAGTTTAATCCTATTTCAGATCTGAACAAAAGAATACTAAAAAACCAATAACTGTTGCTAACAGTTCAATTTGAAACACAGCTGTATCCTATGTGAGTAAACTTGTAAGATTGCCACAGATTGAAGTGAAGCGAGGAGCAGGCGGAAGCTAGGACTTGGTGAAGTGACAAGAGACAGAGGTTTTCTATAATTGGTTTGCACAATGTTGCGTGAAGTTGGTGAAGAATTCATTGCCCCAGAATCTAATTCGGTCTCTTCAATAACTAATCAATAAATGCAATAACTTATTTTTGCTATCCAAACAATGTATGAAAGTCATTAATGCAATCATGATAAAAAGGCTTGCTTCATAGAGAGTATGTTTTGACACCTGAACTGCTAGACTCGTCTTTAAGAGAATATTTTTGTTTGGACAAAGAACAGTTTAGGGTAACACACAAGTTTGTCCCAAATTTCATCCTTATTTTTTTCTTTCATGTTATTCATTGAAAAAGTATTAAAATATTGTCATCAGAATCATTTTAAAGCTAACAGTGTTCTTTAATTGGATGAATTCGGCGCTCCATTCAGGGAGACCACCAAATTAGTTATATTTCTCTAAGGTAGGAAAAAGGTTTTCAGCTCAGGTAAAGCAATATCAGTCTGATATTTGGCCAGTTTTCCTATGAAATTCTTTATTTATTTTAGTATTACCTACTTTGATGGCATGTTTCTGGCATTTTATTGATGGTTCCTAACTGACGCCGCGTGTTCCAGCCTCCAGTCCGGTAGAATATTTCCCATACTTTGATGGCAAGTACCTGGCTGTGGCAACTGCTCTCAACGGAGGTAACGCTCTGGCTACCTTCATACAGATGCTGCAGCAGTGGACATTAGACCTGGGCTTCAACATGCCTCAGAGTGAGTTGTCTAAGTATATGTCATGTGTTACAAATTCCTCAAATGTTAAACTCTTATTGTGGAAGGAAAAAACATAGGTGTGCTATTCCCGTAAATTCTGACGTCACTCAGATTGCAAACAAAAGATCACCTGATTGTAACTGTCATTTTGGTATGTGTTTGTTTTGATTTGATTGTTATTGTTTTTGTAATGTTTTCAAAATAGTGGAATGGCGTTTTGTGCAGTTGCCGGTTGTAAAAATTACTATCGCAAAACTAAAGACTCTCAAATAAAATATTATAGATTTCCAGAAAATGATTATCTAAAACGACAGTGGTTACGATCGTTTGATCGGGTTGGCATTAATGTGAAAAACGCACGGGTCTGTTCGGAACATTTTACTGAGGACAATTTCGTAACACCTTTAAAATTCGTAACCGCGTTTTAAGAAATCGGATAACAACTTAAAATGTAATGATCGACAAACCCTTTTCCAAAACTGAACTGAACAACGTTAAACTTTCATTTTATTGTAAAAGTGACTGTTAAAAGTATCGAATTCAATATATTGTGGTTATAAAAGTATAAATTATAAACTTATCATTAAAATAGAATTCATTTTAGTTGTTAAAGGTTTAATTAAAAATTAGGTTTATTGTTATAATTGAACTAGGATACAATACATAAGACAAAATACCCTAAGTCATGGCATAAAAAACACAAACAAGACATTGCAGTACTGTACAGTATGTGATAGTTGTAGGCCTACAATAAAGACAGTGTTCAATACAGTTACTAATTAGTTATGATTGTTAAATTTCTAACTCTATGACTTTTTAAATATTTAACATTGAAAATTGCAAACATTGGTATAAATATCAAACAAACTTTTAAACACTCATTTAAACTTTTTGTTTTCTTACAGGCTCGTCTACTTTTTTAACTTCTTTATTTCTTCTTTTATTTGTCATTTTTTTCCTTCCTTCCTCAAATGCAGCATTAGAGTTTGTGTTGAGGTGCTTTATTCGAATATAAGTTCTAACTTGTATCAGTCGTAACGCCGCTTTATCGGGGATATTTGGGTACAATTCTTTGGTTTTACTCACTTTATCAAACACTTTGTTTTTTATACCACGCTCTTTGCAAACACATTCACCATGAATTTCATTGAATGCATTTTCAATATGTCTGGCAAAGCCTAAGAAATCGTCTGAAGGGACGCTTAAACCCCCTTTGGAAACAGTCTCGATCCACTGCTGAGATGTTTCTGGATCAACGCTCAATATGTGGCTTGAGGGTGTTCCCAGGTGGGGATATTTTTTCTTCAACTTAAATGCGACATAACCAGCCACATATCGCAGTCCTTCGTCCCCTATGATGTCTGCTGGTTTTGACTCTGGAGGTATTATGAATGCGCTTTGGCAGAACTCCATTTCAATTCCTTCGCAGCTGTAGGTACATATGTTTCAAAGGTTGAAACTTGAAACCAAACACGTTTCATCACCCGGTTGGACATTTCCTTTCACAGCAAAGGCTGTAGAGGAATGTTTGCCTAGAATATACCATCGTAATCTATACGGGAACTGCATTGGATCTGGGTGGTCATACGCCCTACCCATACTTCTTATGTAGGAGAAGAAGTTTTCCAAGACATCTTGGTTCAGTTTTGATGTAATTATAAAGTTAGTTTTATATCTTTTCTGTAGATCATCAAACATATCTTTGAGTGATTTATTCGTGATTAGAATTCCTTTTTGGAATGGCAGTAAGCGAAAAGGATTTCTTTCCAAATACTAATATGGTTGAAATGAACTGAGACATATTATCCAATATGTTAGTCTGTTTCTCGATCTGAACACCAAATGCACATTTCTCAGGAATCTTGTGATTTGGTATTTGGGAATTAAGTACATCAAACCAATCATTAAATAACCCAATCATTTCAGAAGTGAACTTCCAGTTAGGATCCGTTAATAGACCTTTTTTGACTAAGAATTCCACAGCCTTAGAGGTACAGTTTGACATTAGTTGAGCAGCCAGTTTGACGTTATGTTTATTTTTGACATGTATGTGGTCACTTTTCAGCTTGAAAGCAACTTTTAAGTCGGAATCTTGAAGCTCCGTAATTTCTTCAAGACACTTAGAGGTTATGTGAGTTCCATCAACAGTAATGAACCCTTTGTTCAAAAAGTGATTTCTAGCCAGTTTCAAGAGGTGTGGAGCGTCACCAAAAACGTAAATGTTTCTTGATTTGTCGAAAGGATTTGGAAAATAAGTGTTATTTGTAGTTATACCTAATGAATTCCAAACTGATCGGTTTTCACCGCCCAAGTCGCACGTTACTGATACAATTTTCTATCCAGTTTTTTCAACTGAAGTGATTATCTCATTTAGAGTTCCAAGCGTCATTGGTTTGTCATACTCGTAGTAAACAGGTTGCTTCCACTTTCCAGTTAGTCCTCTGATAAATGCGACTTGCACTTGTTCATGAGGACCAACAATCTGTTCATTTATTTTATCGAAACCCATCCAACCACTCACACTCATTTTGTCAAATGAAAGACATGTGAGTTTTTGAAATTCGGTCATTGTCTTTGCATAGTGTTCAATGACCAGTAACACATGTTTCATTATTCCTGGCGAACATTCAAATTTGGAGGCCCATTTTCTGAGAGTGCTCAAAGCAGGAAGAGGGTAATTTCATTTGCTTCGCATGTAGCGGTAAGCTATTGCACTTATCGATCTGAGGCTGGTGGCGCAAGCAATGTCCTCGTTTGACCAACGGACCCGTTTTTTCGGATTTAATAAAATTTTTTATTTCCTGGTGTGAAGATTTTGGACAACACAGCAGTTAATTTCTCATCTGTATGTTTACACTGAGCATTTAGTTCTTTAATTTCTTCGTACAAAAAAGAAGATTTTCTAAAACTGTTTTACAAACTAAAGATTTCATTTCTTGTTTTAGTTTTTAGCGAATTTCCCATATAGGGAATAAGCTATTACCGTAGTACTCATGGTAAGACTTGGACCCGGGACCGATTTTTTTTTCGTTTTGAGGTCCCTAGAGGCCAAAAACACCATCCGTTCAAATTCATATATATATATATATTTATATATATATATATATATTTATGTGTCCGTTAGCGCAATAACTCGAGCAAAAATGATCCGATTTTGATGAAATTTGGTACAAACGTGTAAACCTACATTTATTCAAACGAGTTCGCGAACCAGCATGGTCGGACCATGGGAACGGGGGTTTATGGGGGCTTATATGGGGTAAAAATGGGTTTTTCCCATTTTTGACCCAAAAAACATAAAATTTTGCAATTTCTTTCCAAACAATTTTGTAGAGCTTAAAAAAACAAATAATTTAGTATATTGAAGCGTTATAATGCGCCTAATGGTTACGGAGAAAATTCCAAAAAATTGTAAATTTAAAATTCTTATGTTATTCTTATGGAGAATAAGTAAACTGTTATAGTTTGCTTGTTTATTAACATATTTTGCCCAAATTTGGAAAATGTTTTTATTTCTTACTAACTATTAACATTTTACATAAAAAAACACTTTTACCCTCCCTGTTGCAGCAAACCTAAGTATGTGTTAAACTGATTCTATTTAAATAGGGAATAAATGTGATATTTTTAAGGAGACATTTTAGTGTAAATCCAATCAGGCAAATGAAAATTCGCTTAGTCTGCAGGTTTGCTGCGGCGGGGGTATTTGTTTTCATTTTCTAGGTGTTCAATTTTTTGTGACATTAATCTCACTTTTTCTTGCAAATCTTCAATTTCAATTGGTAAAGTTTGGTGTTGGATCTCGAGAAGGTGCCATAGCACCGAATCCAATAGTGCCGAATCATGTTTTTAGTCCAAATTTGCCAAATTTCACGTTCGACACTGTTGGATTTTAAATTCCAATAGCGCCGAAAGAGATGTTTGTGTAACAGAGCCGAAATATTTATTTTAAAATCCAACACCATCGAACGAAAACTAAAAATGTGTAAGAGTACCGAATTTAGAATCATTCCATTAGCTCCGAAATAAAAATAAATCCAACAGTACCGAATCCCAACGCTTTAAATTGTTTCGGCTCTATTGGACGTTTGAATCTTTCTTTCGGCGTTGTTGCACGATTTTGCAAACAAAATCCTTGACAGCCGAACAATAGAACCCCCACCAATCTTCTCCCACAACTCAATCCAACTGTTTTTCGGTTGGCTGATCTACACCCAATGAAGTTTCAAGAATGCATACGCGACCATCGGTGCCACCTCCACCACTGCCCAGGGGTGACGGGTGACGCCCAGTAAAATCGTCCCGGTCACTGCTGCCCCTAGCGGAGTTCTCTGGATCTAGGCTAGGCAAAGGCATTTGTGCTATACTAGAGTGGCAATCCCTATCCTTTAAACATAGAGGACACATGTGCTGAAGCCACCTTCTGTGTTAAGCAGAGATGCAATTGACAACTCCACTGCGTGCGGCGACCACAATATTTTTAATTCACCGTGATTCATTAACACCGTCAAAACAGCCACTTATAGTTGAGATAAAATTCTGAAATTTTGAGGTATTAAATAACACTATATCACCTCAGTAATATTGTTTTCGAATTATGTAAATTGAAATTTTAACCCATTAAAAAAAAAAATATAAATATATAGCAAAACAAGGTTGTATAAAATTTGGGACATGAAAAAGTTGGTCTGCTGATAAGTTTTTAATTTTTTTGTCAGGGGATTTTTGTCAGCATTTACATTTTGCAACCCACCCTGCTGGGTGAGAGACACTCACCACAACAGAATGCTTCCATCACAACATTGGTATGTTGGCAGGTAGTGTGTGGAGCAAGGTGCTAGAATTGGGGTCCCAGGACTCTTCTGAGTCTACCCTGTGTGTCATCCCCACGCTGCTAGGCGAGAGACACTCACCACAACAGAATGCTTCCATCACAACATTGGTATGTTGACAGGTAGTGTGTGGAGCAAGGTGCTAGAATTGGGGTCCCAGGACTCTTCTGAGTCTACCCTGTGTGTCATCCCCACCCTGCTAGGCGAGAGACACTCACCACAACAGAATGCTTCCATCACAACATTGGTATGTTGACAGGTAGTGTGTGGAGCAAGGTGCTAGAATTGGGGTCCCAGGACTCTTCTGAGTCTACCCTGTGTGTCATCCCCACCCTGCTAGGCGAGAGACACTCACCACAACAGAATGCTTCCATCACCAACATTGGTATGTTGACAGGTAGTGTGTGGAGCAAGGTGCTAGAATTGGGGTCCCAGGACTCTTCTGAGTCTACCCTGTGTGTCATCCCCACCCTGCTAGGCGAGAGACACTCACCACAACAGAATGCTTCCATCACCAACATTGGTATGTTGACAGGTAGTGTGTGGAGCAAGGTGCTAGAATTGGGGTCCCAGGACTCTTCTGAGTCTACCCTGTGTGTCATCCCCACCCTGCTAGGCGAGAGACACTCACCACAACAGAATGCTTCCATCACCAACATAGACCCCGGCAACCTGGGACTGGGTCAGGTCTTCAAAGCCATCTGTCGGGGAATCATAGAGAACCTACACAGGTAGGCTCAATGTAGACATAGTAAACTAAGTGGTAGTTAATTATTTATATGTGTTGTGATTTTGAAATTATAACCCCCAGTTTGCCCACTTTTTGGAGTAAACAAGTACTAATTATTTCCTTTGTAGAGATCCGTAAGGGGTCAGTTTTGAATTTATTATACTGCTCATTTGTTCCTTTATTGTAGTTTATCATTATGAATTCCACAGTCGCACAATCTATGTTTTGTTCATGAACTATTCCGTAATACATACCTATGAATTCTGTTTGCCTCTGCACTTACTTCAAGAGAAAGATATGATACAAACTCAGATATTTAGGGTCAAATAAAAAATGTTGAGTTTATATCCTTGCAAGTGAGATTTAAACTTTAATGAGATTGACCTGTAATGTTTTATTTTGGTGTTGGATGATCAGGAGGACAACACAGAGTTATCCTAAAAGTTGGCAAGATTCTCAAAACACTCTTAACGAATGTGAGCACGATACAGCTCCCAGAGCTCTGGGCCTTTTAGTTAAATCAAAACTGAAACTGTCTTAAAAACATACAAAATAAAATAATTAATTAGTTAAAACCATGGAATAGTTTTTGTATCACACCTGGATTTTATCAGCTCCTTCTGAGCACTCCTGGGAAGAAATTTTAGTTTGGCGTGTTGTAGGAGTAGGCCTAGCCTGTTTTGTAAATACAATCTTATTCCCCCCTGGAGTTAACATTGCAAATCAAAAGTAAATTAAGATGTAATTTGATGTATCAATTTGAGAAATACTGCAAGATTTTTACATAAATAAAGACACTTTATTGCTTCCAAGACACAATGTTGAAAACACCTATTTTGCATTTTTATCAACACAGTATGATGCCACGTGAAATGCTGCTCAAGGCCAACATCTCCAGAATCCTGGGGATAGGTTCGGCACTCACTCGCAACCCAGTGCTGCAGAGTGAGGTGCGGCAGTGCTACCAACTGCCTGTAGTGTTTGTCCCCGGAGGTGACGCAGCCTGGGGGGCAGCCATGGCTGTCAGCAGAAACTAGACACCTACCTCCCAATATGATTTGACTCGACCTCCAAAAGAGGGTGCTGCTAACCTTTACATGCTGAACAAACTTCCCACTGTTACTTCCAACAACCACTGCTGGTTTGAGCAGTAAGTGGGTCCAAAATTGGTGTAAACTTTACTACATTTTTAAATGGCACATTTTAACCAAGTTAAGTTTAATTTTCGGTAATGAACTGGAAATAATTTTTTGGCCAAACTCAGGTCGGGTCGAGCTGAGCTTTTACTTTTGCAATCCCTGAGATCTGCAAAGATGTGCATTCCAATTTTGTCAATTTTGGTAAAATCGTGGTAATGTACTGTATATGGTTTATGTTCACGATTTTGCCAAAACCGCTGAAGAGGTAGTTTTTGCCATGCCTGTGGAAGACGTTGATGATTTCACCAATGCTGCAGATGTTGTCCTTGATTTTGCCATTACTGCAATTAAGTATTCGTTTATTATTTCATATTTTCATAAATCAATACTTTCAAATCAATCTGATTTTGAACTGACCCAATTTTGGCCCAATACCAGAGATCCATTATTTTTTAACAGATCCAAATAAAAAAAGTCTGGCCCTCAAATCCCTAGTGATAATTTAATACAGTATTATGTAGTCAAACAGAGTAAAGTAAAGTTATAACAGATTCATAAGGTTTGATAAAAAGCTTTTATACCTGTACGGTATAATATTAGAGAAAGGAATAAATAAAGATACAGTTTTTGACTAAAACCATTAGTCTCAGATAACTTTATTATATGACATTTCTAATCTTGACCTTGGTGAGTTTTTTAAACCTCAATTTTTTTGCCAGTAAAACTTAGTCTGTATATCTTTTCATTATACACGATAGGTACTCTAAAAACAAAAACAAGTACAATATTGCTTACAGAATTCTGTAAGAGTGATATCGAAATAAGTAAAGTTATTTTGAATATGTAATGTTACCTATGAACACCCTATGAGCAGAGTATATGATTTGTTTATGACGATGTTAAGTAACCAGGGAGTTGAGGGATTTCATATGTTTGATGTCCTTTACTGGCTGCATCCATACACTAACCAACACAAGTAGACATCTCATCCTATTGTAAACTTTGAAGCTAGTTTTTTGTGTCTAGTTCATGTATGATGACACTGGGCGCTAGTGTGGACAACATTTTTTTCTATTATTTTAGGGTTAACTTCTTGATTTGTGCTTTACTGTTTGGTTATATCACTAGGGGAAGAGTTATTGTTTATGATTAGATCGTATTATTTGGCTAAACGAGGTTTTAAATGACAAGAAACAAATTGTAAACAAAACACGACCTCTACAGTACGCTGTACAGCGCTAACAATAAAATTGTCTTCAGCTGTTCCATATGGATGAGAAATCTACTAAGGGAGTGTGTTTTATCCATGCTGCAGCTCTGTTTTTTTGTTGAGGTCAGTCAGTGTCATGGCCACTGTCAACGTCTGAAGTTGATTGTTAACTGAGGAGGTACAGATATATTTTCCTCTTCAGATATTTCCCTCTTTTTGCTAACTAAGAAAAATATACTGCATTTGGAACATAAGCAATTTTATTTTTACTGTAGTACTTTTAAACAGAGAAGATTTTCTTTAACTTTAGGGTACTTGATTTTTTTAACCCAATATAAAACATTAAACATCAAATTTAAAAATTCATATATTTAGAACACGTGTTTATCCGTAAAAAAGAAATGGATAATTTTATTGTAGTTCATAAAGTATGTACATTTATTTTACGTTATTCATTAGTAAAATTGTTGTTTTACTAATTTTAATAGGATTTAATACTTGGATTAATTTATCATTGTATTCCTGAAAGAATTGAGAAGTAGCTTTAAAACTAGTTTAGGAATTGTATGGAGTGCACAAACTGCATGGTATGTTGTCAGTATTTAAAAGCACTTATACTCTCTATTTCCACAATGTGATTAATAGTAGTAAATCTGGAAGCTTTGAGTGATGTAGAAGTAATCTCTAGTTATTCATGAAATACAGTATTGGAATTATTTTGACTCAGCATTTATAACAAAAGTAAACACAATGTATCATATATATATTTATACACATTAGCTTAGATTTAGATTATAAATTACTGTCATTTATAGTTTCAGCTTTCAGTTTGTCAAAATTACGACCAACAGTTTTTATGTTGTGGAACATGGGTGTAACCATAGATTATGTTGTATAACGTCGCTTTTATGTTCATAATTTTGTTTGCAGAACCTTTCAATGCAATATTGAAATAATATGCTTTATGGCAACAGTCTCAACAATTTTTCACAAACTGCCGTGAGAAATAGATGTGAATGAATAATAATTTATCATGTAATATATTTTTTTTTTTTATCTAAAAGTTAAGGCTGTTGATTATCTATGAATCATGACAAACTGAAGGGTGATTTGACTTTCTGTGAATGTTGGTTGTTTCAATTCAATAAATATATTTTTAGGACATATTTGCTATGAAACAAATCTATTTAAATTTTTTATCGACCAAAACAGTGTAGACAAATAAAACATTTTCTAAAATTCTTTTGATAAGTATTTTTGAAAGTGAGCATTTAATCAAATTTTAGCTAAATATTTATATATTCAACTGTATACCTCGAGTAAACATTCCAATTTCAATGTTACCCTTTACCTACTTCACATTCTTTACTTTTCTCTTTACTAAGGATATACTACTAGGATTAATTGGTTTTAGGACCAACAATTGCGTGATTTTCTTTTATTTAATTTTATGACGTGAACAATAATCCTTTTAAATTTTCTTAGATTGACATATTTATATTTTAATTTACCAATATGCCTCTAGTCAGAATGTTGAACAATGTAAATTAATACTCTGTATTTTCAACCATTAGAATTATTGTAGGCCTAAGAGAAATTATCTAATTTTATATTCAAGGTTATCTGATAAAAATGTAGGGTATTTGCCATGAATCATTAAAGAAATTAGCAGGAAAGCAGGCTTACCTTTAAATAAGTCCTTAGAGACACATAAATTATACAAAACAAAAGTAGAAATTTTCAACCACTGGAGAAATGGCAATGGCAGTTGCAATTTGAATCTATTTCACCTTGTCAGGGTTGCCATTTGCTAACACAGCTCAAGAGACTAAACATTGTTTATACTGTTGCATATGTTTAATATTGTTCACTCATTATGAATAATCCACTTTGTTTATACTGTTCTATATTTACACTAGCCTGCTATGAAAGGTGAGGAATGGTGATTATCTTATATTAAGGTTTGGTGGGTTTTTAGAGTGGGTGAACCATTGGTAGCTTAATTCCCATCTTCTCAGTTCTGAGTGGTTGCAGTTTGGAGGCAGCTGTTTTATTATTTTTGAAGAAAAACAGCAATTGAAATCAGATTTAGAGTGTGATGAGACATGGTTGACTACTGGTTCGTCTTTATAATTGTTTTTTTTTTACATCTTGACGATGACCGTTCATTCTGGTACGGAACTGGTTCTTTGTTAGGCCTATATACTGAGCTGGGCAGTTATTACATTGAAGCTGATACATTACATTGCTTGTGCTGCAGGTGTCGTGTCCTTGAATCTTGAAAACTTCATTTGTGGCGTTGCTGGAAAAACTTGTGGTGGGGAGTTTGATGGGACACGTTTTACATCTGGAAGTATTAGATGGGAAAGAGCCGTTTGAGGGTTTGTTTCTGGTTGCTGTCATTGGATCCGGTATCTTAGGATGAACAAGAATCTTTGTGATGTTAGGTAGTTGGCGAAATGTGGTGGTTGGGGGTGTTTTCAGGAAATCCTTTGTTTGTGGGGAAGCTTGGAGAATTTTGAATACATCTTTTAGAATGCAGTTGAGGGATTGTAGACCATGGTGGTGTTCAGTTTTTAGGTTTCATTTTTGGGGTGGTTTCTGTTTCTTTTTTTAGGGTTGTTTGATTGGGCTAATCAGATTTGGTTTTTTACAAGGTTTTTGGGATAGCCTCTTTCAACGAATGTGTTGGAAATTTTTGAATTGAAATTGGAGAGTTCCTCTTCTGGTGAGGAATACGTTTGGCTCGGATGCCTTGGATATACGGTATAGATCTTTTGGTTTTGGCTGGATGGAAACTGTCAAAATGTAAGTATTGTAGGTTATTGGTGGGTTTGATATGAATGATAGTGGTTATTCATATCAATTGTATCAAATCAATTCATATAAATTCATTTTTTTGTTGTATATTTTATGTGTCTCTATGGACTTATTTAAATGTAAGCCTGCTTTCCTGTCAATTTCTTTAATAATTTGATATTCAATAAATTATATTTTTTAGACAAAAACAGTATTGGTCCAAGCAACATCTAAAAACAGATGGTTTGGAACCAACAAATTCAAATACTTTATTACTTTTAATATTTTTCAATGAAATGGTGACCATACAAAGTAGGTCAGTTTATGTGAGGATGTGGACAGACATGATAGCCTGAATAGTCTTATTTGTAGTATTTTTATTTACATTTTATATTTTTTAGATCACTTGAAAAAACCTCAACTTTGAACCATTTGAATTTACTTATTGGGTCTTTAAATAAATCAATATTCTTCAAGTTATTTCTGTATAATAAGTCAGTGTTAAGAGCTTAAGTTATTCAGTATAACTGGGTGAATAATTAAATAAGCTGTGATAAATTAATCTGCAAACTTTCTGTCTCTTTACCCAATTAAAATGTTTGTCAAAAAATGATTGTGACCGCATAGGCATCCAAAAACAAAACAATAATAGCGAGCTTGTAAAGATAGTTTATTTCTGTTCTCAATATGTTGATTGATGTAAACACTTTAGAATCTAGGTAAATTGGATGTTAATGTTAAGTTTGTATCACGCTAATGAACCCTCCCCCTCTACGTCTTACACATAGATGTATTTGGATAAAAAATCCACCCAGACAGTTTAGAGTTAACGTAACACTGATTCTTCTACCCACCAGCACTAATGACTAAAACAGGCGTTAGAAACATAAATTAAAAATTTATTAAAACGTGCAATGATTGCATTCATTAAACAGAAAATATTGATCTTCATCAGATCAGAACTAAATAATTGGTGTAAATACCTGCATTTATGTGATCAATGTGTTGCTAAATTGCAACCGGTTTCGACTCTCAAAGGAGTCATCGTCGGGCCAGTACAGATGTCTTCTTGCTTCATTCGAAGGTCTTCAATTCATAATAAATAAATACATTTTACACGCACACGCACACGAACATAAAAACTAACATCTAGGGCTAAAAACGAAGGGTAATACTAGAACAGTAACGGAAATACGGACACGGTAAATACACATAAATGCAGGTATATATTTACACAAATTATTTAGTATTTAAATGTGATCAGGAGGCTAAAATTCAATATAATGATTTTTTTATAGTTCAAGACTGGACCCCTGCTGTTATTCATCATTCAACTTACAGTAGAACCTCTTTAATCCGAACTAATTGGGACCAGGGGTAGTTCAGACTATTTAATAGTTCGTATTACAGAACATATTGTTGTTTTTAGATAAAATTTAGCTCAAATGTGACTAAAATGGATAGTAGTTTTTACGGGAAAAGTGAAAAATGCTTTATAGAGTAAAAAACTGTGTTTATTTAATACAGTAGTAAACATAGTGAATAAACCGTTACAGTAAAATTACAATAGAAACCATTTCGGTGTCTATATATTACATAGAAAATTTCTTTTTATAGCCCTATTAATCCATCCAATAATCAAGCTTATTTGCAACCAGCACTAAAGTTGGTGGTATGTATTTATCTACAAAAACAGTTTCAATAATAAAGGGGAAAAAATTACATATTGCAAGATCTGGTGACTGGTGAGGGAATTTAATAAACTTGGCTTTAGCCCTTATATAGGGTGCGCCAAAATAACCTGACAGTTTTTAATACTAAATAACTCAAGAACAAAATACAATTTTATATATTAAATAATGTTATATTGTACACACTACTATGCCATTTTCACTTATGAAAAATTATATCACTTAGGTGATGTCCTTCTTCTAAACACAGGCTTTCAATTTTTTTGCATATTTGCAGTCACCTTCGCCTGATGAATAGAAACAATCTCTTCCCGGATACACTTGGTTCAAAATTTTGAAACAACCACTTTGCTTTTTAAGTATTCCCATAGCCAACAGTCACACAAAATTAAGTCTGGGGATCGAGCTGACCACAGCACATCACCAAACCAAGAGATCACTTTACCGGGAAAGACTTCACGCGAAACTGTCATTGAATAATTGGCTGTATGACAAGTTGTGCTCTCCTGTTGAAACCATGTTTTGGTTATGACTATCCCTCCTAACATTCACAGTTGTGGAACCAAAAACCCCCTCAGTATTTCCAAATAGCGTTCCGAGTTTACAGTGATAGGGGGTGTTCCCACTTTCATCCTCAAAAACATATGGTCCGATGACTCCAAACCGTGCCACACCAGTGTGGTGTCTAGTGTAGACAGTAACTTTCTTTCGACTAAGTGATGTTTCACCAAACATATACTATAAATACCTAAAAATGGCATAACATAAGCAATCGTTCACTACAACAATGAGGTATCTAGCTAGTATAACAACTGACTTATTACAAAACAAAAACCGTCAGGTTTTTTTGGCGCACCCTTTATTATGTAATTAACCAAGAGTAAAAAAAATTAAACTTAATTCATATTAAATACACACCATTAATAAAGGATTGTATTGCATAGATTTAGTAATGTATTAATAAAATCATGTAAATAAGAAACATAATGTACTTGTTAGGGTTTTTGTTTCTGTGACTCTATTCAAGTATGTATGTACAGCTTGAATAAAGATTATTTGATTTGATTTGATATTAATAAATACAGTATCCAATAAAGAACTACTGTACTGTGTATAGAGTACATCAATGAGACGTTCGGATTAGTGGACTTTCGGATTACGGGGGTTCGGATGAAAGAGGTTATACTGTATATTATTATAAATGGTCCTGAACTTGGTTTTAGTAACAAAGCTGTAATTTCATCCATTCAACAAACATTCTTCATTCATAGCTATGTAAATGATATGCAACCAGGTGTTTATTACATAAATATAATTGATATAAATATGCCTTCTTAGTGTGTAGGTCTATATTTTTTATGTTTTGGCTCAGCATTTTTGTTACACAAAACACAAATACGTCACTAGAATGCTGAAGACCCTTAACTTGATTTTTACTTCACATCCAAAATGTAATATATAAAGTCTAGCAGATAGGTAGTTCTCATCAAAGTTTTGATTGTGAAAGAAACTAATCTGTTGTTGAATTTTTTGAAATATTAACAAGTGTTACATTTTATAAAAATGAAGATTATGATCATTGTTATGTTACTTTTTACTTATTTAATATTTATACATGTTAATTTAACCGATTTATATACATTTTATATTATAACGTTAGTAAAATGTTACCCAGTTAGCCTGTAGTTTGACAAATAGTTAATAGTGTCTACCTATATTGTTGTTTTCTAAACTATTTTAAAACCATGAAGTTAAGATAAATATTCAATTATTTTTGTTTTTGAGATCTTTATGGATGATAGTTATTTAGAAATTATTTATATTTTTTTATGTATGATAATACCATTTACTTTGTTCATTTCTTGAAGTTGAAGGTGATCACATAATACAAAGTCAGTCATAATACAGATTCTGATAAGGGTAGGAATATACGGGGCCAATGAGACCCAGCTAAGATACTATACTTTAAATTGCTTTAACTATTTAAATGTCAATTGGGGTGGTGGAATTGTACCCCTCTGGAATTGTACCCCCTCGTGTACACAGGAGAAGATGTACGGCCCGGAATTGTACCCCCCCCCCCCCAAATTGGCTCAGACCTCTTCATGCACTGAAATGAAAATGGACGTGGTAAATGTGATGTTTGATTTGAACTGAATATGAACTCAATTCAAAATAAAACAAATTAAATCCAATGTAGGCCTATATCGTCTGTCTTATCTGTTTGTCTGTTTTGAAAATAGTAAAGTAAATTTTAATAAAATTTAAAAAAAATATGGACTTGAATAATCAACTAGGAAAAGGTATAGGAATTTAAGGAGTAAAGAGATCCATCACTTAAACATATTGTTGTCAATACTACAGTTAAAATATTTTATAAACCAAACAAAACAATGACCTAACTTCCAAATATTTCTAACAGTATCCACTATCCCGCGAGGTGAAGGAAAAACACCTCTCACCAGGCTAGACCTGTTATATTGTTATATTTTTATCTGTTACATTGTATAGGATTCAAATAAGCCTTCCTACGACGTTTTGTAATTGACTTTGGGCTTGGTCATTTGAATTTTTGTCGTTTTAAGGTGAGAATAAGGTAAATATTGTGAACAAGTTTTATT